CCCCCCCTTAGATGCCACCCAGATGCCCTGAGCCTCTCCCAACACACCACCAAGGCATGCCAACTCAGAGCAATGTTCCCCAGTTTCTTGCAAGAAACCTCAGTGACTGCCAGGAACCTGTGCCCCTCCCCCAGGCACAGGCTCCAGTGCCCGCAGCGGGAACTGGCCTTCCAGGACCCGTCCTCCAACCACCAGGGGCTCAGAGTGGACAGCATGAGGAGGCACCAGGAAGCAGGGAGACCGTGTGTGTGAGGCTGAGGGGGAGCTGGCATCACAAGGTTTGGGTGAGCAGTGAGGCTCTGTAAGAGACATTAACAAAAAGACATCATGGGGGAGAGTGAAAGCATTTTCGGTACCTTCTTTCTAAAAGTACAGAAGTAAGATAAAGACTATTAAGAGCCAAACCCACTGACTGCAGTAACCCAGCTCCAAGCACCAGGCAAGGCAGATGTTCCAGCCACCATCTTCCTTAATGCTCACCAGGCCGCCATGACTTAGAGGCACATTAACTTGCCCCAAGCCACACAGCCCATTAAGTTGTGGGTGGAGTCAGTCAGGGCCAGAGTACCAGCAGGGTTGCTCCATCCCACCCAATACCCACATCCCCACTGCAGACTGGAGTTTTCTGGGTGCGCTAGTGTGGGGACAGATGACCATTAAGACCCAGTGAGAGCACTGGTGCTTGAACGGATGGGTCCAGGTTCCATTCTGATCAAGGCCTCATGCCCAGGTTGGGGGCTCGATTCTCAGTAGGGGGCGTGCAGGAGGCAACTGATTCTCATCATTGATGTTTCTATCTCTCCCTGTCCCTTCTTGGAAATCAATAAAAATATATTTTTTAAAAATCCAAAAAAAAAAAACCCACCTGCTGGCACCCAGGCCACACAGACCTCCTCCCTTGGTGCTCCGTTAGAGGACCTGAGCTGCGGGCCCAGAGCCTGCTGCCTGGAGAGCCCCTGGAAAGGAGGTTTCACCGCTAACAGGTGAAAGCAGCCCCTGACAACCTGGCCACAGGCGGGCATCCCTGTGCCCTACAAACTCCATTGGTAAGATCAGTGTTCTGACGGCCACGTAAACTAACACCAGTCACTGTGCTGCTGGAGGAGAAGAACTGAGGACACACATGCACAGGGCAGAAAGAGGAACTGCTGTGGGCTGACACCACTTCCTCCGGCTCCCTCAGATGACTGAGGGCAGGACAGCTGATGGCCTGGGGGCCGGTGCCCTGAAGCAAGCGCTTCTCACCTTTTTAGGACTTTACAGCTTTGACCGGGGCTGGCTCAGGCTCAGGGCAGAGGAGCCCTCCCGTTAGGCACATTGTGGAGAGATGACCCCTCTTCTGGGAGCGAGCACCTGCTGGGCTCAGCGGAGGAGGAGGAGGAGAAGGACTGCTCCCAGGACACGGGACCATTCCCTTCGGTCCTGAACCAACCTGGATGCATGGTCAGGGCTAAGCACAGACCCAGAGCCCCATCCTCCAGCAAAGTGGGAACTGACACGCACCAGTGTCTCAGGACACCCACTCGTGGCCTCAGGCTGGCACACAGCTCTCATCAGGACAGGAGCCACTCGTAAGAATTCGGCCAGTTAAGCCCTTCACCTCTGATCTGGTTATATGAGACAAAATCTACCATTTCCACTCGGAATAATCCCCTTCTCTTGCCAAGTGGCTTAAAATATCATATTTCCACCCTCAGCCCCATCACTGAGCCCTGTCTATAAAGTTCCTTTCATTATCTTCCCATTCCTGACTCTTGCCAACACCAAGTACACCTGGAGCGAGCCCAAGCAAAGAACTGAAAGGGCAAATCATCAGAAGCAGCACGATGGCCCCACCCCTCAAGCATCCACCTGCTGCCACAGAATCTGCAAGTGCAAAGCCAGGACTGGCCCTGTCAGAGACCAAGGCAAATAGGCGCCCACAGTTTTCTCCCGATGGGCTCAGCTGCAGACCAAATCCCCTCAATCTGACTCATCTGAGTGCTTTACCACCAACAAGCAGTCCTATTTCCTGCTGCCCTTGAACTCCGAAAGTAGCTCCACATTGAAATGGGGGCTGATTCAGCTCTATACAAGGTCTAACCTGCTCAACAATACCTATGGGCCAGCTACCTTGGAATACAAAGAGACTTAACCAAAATGAATCACACATCAAGTATTTACTGAGCACTTCCAGGAAGCAGTATCCCACCGAGCCAGTCCCTAAGGGACTGTGGAGGAGAAAAATGACCCAGGACAGACTCAGCCCCCATGGAGGAAGCCCCAGGAGGAAAAGAGTCCACACTTACACCGCCCATAAAGAGGACTTTGTGGTGGCACTGGGCCCAGAGCCAGAACTTGAGGCAAGGAGGTAGGGGCTGGTGGGCACTGGGTCCCACTCAAGCTCAGTCCTGAGAGGGAATGTGAAGACTTCGGGGAAGGGGGGCCAGTTGTAGCCCAGCTCTCCACCTTCCCTAGCAACCCGCCCGCCCACTTTTAAAAAAGCACCGAGAATGTCCTAACTCCAGCTCTCCCACATGGCTTCACTGAGCTCCCCCAGACATTCTCTCTAACAGCAGCCACAGGCATTCTCCTGCTGAACTCCAAACCCTCGGAACTCCTACCCCTAAATCTCCCCACCCAACCCCTCTCCCAGCACCACCTTCTGCAAGCCCAGGTGCTCAGTGAACACTAGTCCCACCCAACAGGGAATCTTCCACCAGGACCACGGGGGCTTCAGCCCTAGGACTATCTGCCAGGTATGCTTTCATTAATCTTAACTGGGAGGTCAGGGCTGAGATGTTTACCTGTGAATCAACATCCTGTTTCTCTTCCATTTTGTAATTACTAGTGTCCCACTCCTCCAAACAGCCCCTCCCTCCTCCCTAATCCTCAGATTCCTCTCTAAGGGTTTAGTGACTCTCTGGACATTTTTTGTTTGTAATTTTTGTTAATCCTCACCAGAGGATAAATTTTACTTATTTTAGAGAGAGGAAGAGAGAAGGAGGGAGTGAGAAAAACATCTATCAGTTGTCTCTTGCACCAACCCCGACTGGTATGTGCCCTGACCAGGAATCAAACCCGAGACCTTTCAGTGTTCAGGATGACACTCCAACCAACTGAACCACACCTGGCCAGGGCTCTGGAAAGAAACTGAAGAGACAAAGTATCTTATACATTTTCTCACTCGAAATAAAAGATCCTACTCCTATATCTAATGTGAATTAGCATTACTCTTTCTAACAAATTCACATTATCTGTGACTAAAATTAACCCTTAATTACTATCAACTATTTTATTTTACAAGACAGAAACTGTAACTGCTACTTTACCTTCATGTTATAAATTTGTTTTACATTTTAGAAAACAAATATGGCTAAGCAGATGATAATTGGAAAAGCAACAACATAGACATATTCTGATAGATTAATTACCCTCCCTCAGAGAACTATTACAGTAAAGCATGAATTTTTAAAGTAGTCTTGAAACAGTCAAAGAAAGGGATGAATGGACTTAACTGTGCAAGCTATAGTTAACTGGCTCAGAATCAATTGTTTCAATGTTGAATAGCCACTGCCTCAAAACAACCCGAAGGACAGGAGCAATTAAAATCTGACTCAATACACGAAACAGGAACGCAGGAGTAGCAATGCCAGTGAATGACCACTAAGACCCACTGTTTAAAAAGAAAAACAAAACAGTAAAACACACCCGCACTATAAAAGGAAAATCATAGCTCACAAAGCCTATTTCTATCCTGGAGAGGACTGTCATTTTCTGGGAGGTCAGTTCTCTCAGAGAACGTGCTCAAATGAGCAAAGGAGGGATCTGAGGAGTGGGGGTGGGGTGGAAGGTGGGGAGCCAGAGGGCTGGCATCCCAAACTCTGATTTCTATCCATGAGTGCTGGTTTTGCAGTAACTCAAGAATTCTCATTTCCTGATCATAGGTCATGCCACCCTGAGGACGGTCTCTGGCATGCCTCTCAGACTGGAAGGATGTGAAGTTTTCTGGGAAGCCTTATGCCTGGCAAGTGCTGGGCTGGCAGGGAATGAAGCCACGTGCTATTGCATAGGCCCTACTGAACGACCCAGAAAAATAAGAGGAAGGCTTGTGAGTTCCCTAGGACAAATATAGGTAACTACTCTATTCCAACAGCCTTTTCTGAGTTTCAATCCTATCCAGCTTGTATAGCTCCCGAGATATACTCTGCCTTAGCCACAGTCTTATAAGAGTAATCAACAAAGTAATTTACTTTCTATTACTGTCTGGAACAACAGTGTGAGCATTCTATTATACGAAGACAAGCTGCAAACCAGCCTAGAGATTCCTATCCTTTTGCTAGAGCAGTGGAAAAACTAGGATAGTGAGGAAGCAGTCTGAAAAAAGACTTCCCACCTGGCCCTTCCATGATGTCCCTCATCCACCCCTTACTATGAACCACATTCCCTCTGAAACACCACTCTGTGGACACTACCTTCCCAGAATGCTCAATGGGGTGCGTGTTGTGGCTGAAAACAAAGCATCAATTCTCCAAACGCAAGTCCCTGGAAAAGGAAGACGGCCGTGTCGGCTCCCCCTGGCCCACATGAAGTCAAACGTCTGGAACGGGAAAAGCGAAGGACGCCAGGGCTCTCTTGGTTCCAAACCCAGTTGAGTACACTGGGACTGGCGGTGCTGACACACCGGGGCCAAAGAATCCAAGGAGGAAAAGAAAGTAGATCCACTACAGTCCGGGCTGTGGGAAACCTCTCGCACCGAAGAAGAGTGAAGGCTAGAGAGAAAGAGAGAAACGCAAGGCGGAGTGGCCGGGGGTCCCTGAGAGTAAGCAGTCGGTGCCAGGGCGCCATCCCCTCTCCGCTCGGCCCGGAGCAGGGAGTGTGGGGAGTCGGATCGAGCGAGTGACGAGGGGAGCGCGGCGCCCGGGGACCCGAACGGGCCTCCTCCGCACGGGGCCGGGGGTGGGCGGCGGGCCGCAGGCCAGGGCCACCGGCCCCTTCTGGCCGGCCTGCGCGGCCCTCACCTTATCCGAGTCCAGGTCGGGGTCGGCCTGGCACAATCGGTACAGGAAAGATTTCGGGTCCCGGCACAGCGTCTGCCGGGTGGTGAGAAAATACGTGCCGCCGACGTTGAGCCGGACCCACTTGGACACGCTTCCGGGGCGCTGGACCAGGGCGCCGAGCCCCACGCTGCAGCGGCGGCACAAGCCGCCCCCCAACCCCGCCCCGAAACCGCCCGGAGCCGGCTGTAGAAGCTCGCAGTGATTCTCCGCCATGATCCCAGCAAGCCCAGCCACAGCTCCCCTCCGCCGGAAGCGTCCGTCCTTTAATACCTTCCTCCGCGCTCCGTCCCGCCCACGGGTCCGCCCTGCTAAAGCGCCCGCCCGGGCGTCGCGAGGTAGACGAAAAGTTCCGGCCCGGAAAAGCCGAGGATCGCGCCCTCTTCTGGCCAAAGAAGGGTGGTCTGTGGGACTCACGTAGAAGCACAGAGATGAGGACAGGCGCTGAGTCTTAAATACAGGTCACGACAAAGATCCATCAAAAAAGAACTACACCGGTCAGCGCCACTGTCTACACTCTACATGCTTTTTTTTATTTTAATCTTTGTTGTTGAAAGTATGACAGCCTTAGCTGGTTTTTCAGTGGTGAGAGCATTGGCCTGTGGACTGAAGGGCAGGGGATTCAAATCCCATCAAAAGGTTGGGGAATCCTTGGGCGTGCAGGAGGCAACCAGTCGAAAGGCACATTGATGTTTCGCTCTCAGTCTCCCCGCTCCTCCCTTCCACTGTCTCTTAAAATATCAATGGACCCCTTGCTGGTTTGGCTCAGTGGATAGAGCATTGGCCTGCAGACTGAAGGATCCTGGGTTCGACTCCGGTCAGGGGCACATGCCCAGGTTGTGGGCTCGACCCCCCAGTAGGGGCATGCAGGAGGCAAGCAATTGATGATTCTCTCTCATCATTGATTTATCTATCTCCCTTTCCCTTCCTCTCTGAAATTAATAAAAAATATATTTTAAAAATATCCAGTGAGGATTAACAAAACAAAAAAAGTATTACAGATGCCCTTCTCCCTTTTCCCCCATTGACCCCCTCCATCCTGCTCCCACCCCCTCCCCAGGCCTTCACTGCACTATTGTCTCTGTCCAGAGGTTATGCATATCCTAATATATAAAAAGCCAGGGGCTGTCACAACCAAAACAACCAGACAGACACTGAACAGCAGGCTGTGTGGGGCAACCAGGCCAATGGGAAGGGGCACTTGGGGGTGACCAGGCTGGTGGGGGGGAGGGAGGGGCAGTAGAGGGCAACCAGGCCAGCGTGGGGACAGTTGGGGGAGATCAGGCCAGCAGGGGAGACAGTAAGGGGCGAACAGGCCAGCAAGCAGGGGCAGTTAGGAGTAATCAGGCTGGCACAGGGCGGGCAGTTAGGGGTGATCAGGCAGGCAGGCAGACGAGCAGTTAGGAGCCAGCAGTTCCGGATTATGAGAGGAATGTCCAACCACCAGTTTAGGCCAGATCCCTGGCATCCCCTGAGGGGTCCCAGATTGGAGAGGGTGCGCTGGGCCTCTATTCCTATCTAATAAAAGCCCAATGTGCAAACTGTCCCCTCCAGCAGGAGTTTGAGAGAGCTGAGTTGGATTGTTCACTATGATGTGCACTGACCACCAGGGCGTGGCAATGAACATGGTGCTGGCATCAGGCAGCTATGGAGGCACTGCAGGTCAATGGGCCCCGACTGGAGCAAGACATGGCAGGATGGTGGAGCAGGTGAGCAGGCAGTGCCAGCCCATGTGAGTGCAAGCAGGGGCCTGATTACCCTGCTGATCACCCCACAGACAGCAACCAGCATCAGTGGCAGGGTGGGGCTGCTGCCCAGCTCCCAGACGCTGGTGAAGGGGAGAGGGAGAGCAGGGAGAGCAAGGGGTCAGGGGGCCTGGCCCCAATCGATGGTCCTGCAGGCAGATGGTGAAGCAGGTGAGAGGGCAAGGGGGCAGTGCTAGGCCAAGGCAGAGTGCCATGTAGGGCTGTTGGGCTGTGAGACTGGCGGTGCAAGCTGGGGCCCCAATCTCCACAGGCCACCTCAAGGAACCCCACCTATGCACCAGGCCTCTAAATGCATATAAGTTCTGTGGTTAATGTCTTCCCGCTTCCACACCTTTTTATTGCAAGTCTACCATAGATATGCACAAAATCATCCAGCAACTACATCTAAAGCACAAGTATTTTTTTAGAAAGAGGAACAGACTCATCAAATTATATGATTAAATCACTGACCAAATAGAAAATTTATATAATAAAGCCAAAAAAAAAAGTTGTGAAGTACCATTTACAATAATTATTCACATTCAAAGTGGTATATCAATACATTCAACAACCTGGCCCCAAACATAAATTCTATCCAAATAACTTATATATTCAATTTTATTTTTTATTTTTTTAAAATATATTTTATTGATTTTTTTACAGATAGGAAGGGAGAGAGATGGAGAGCTAGAAACGTCGATGAGAGAGAAACATTGACCAGCTGCCTCATTTTAAATAACACAGACTGAATTAGCCAAAATTGGTTTGGCTCCAAGAGGCAGCTGGTTGATGTTTCTCTCTCATTGACGTTTCTAGCTCTCTATCTCTCTCCCTTCCTCTCTGTAAAAAATCAATAAAATATATTTTTTTAAAAAAAAAAAAAAAAAAAGAAAGAGAAACATTGACCGGCTGCCTCCCGCACACCCCCCACCAGGGATGTGCCCACAACCAATGTACATGCCCGCGACTGGAATCAAACCCGGGACCTTTCAGTTCGCAGACCGACGCTCTACCACTGAGCCAAACCGACTTCGGCTATATATATATATATATATATATATATATATATATATATATTCAATTTTAAATAACATAGACTGAATTAGAGGCCAATAGCCAGCAAATAATTTTATATAAGAATAAAAATACAGCAGAAACCGATTTGGCTCAATGGATAGAGCATCGGTCTGTGGACTGAAAAGTCCCAGGTTCGATTCTGGTCAAGGTCATGTACCTGGGTTGCGGGCACATCCCCAGTAGGGGGCGTGCAAGAGGCAGCTGACTGATGATTCTCTTTCATCGATGTTTCTAACTCTATCCCTCTCTCTTTCTCTCTGTAAAAAAATCAATAAAATATATATTTTTTAAAAAGAATAAAAATACAAAAGTGTATATCCTAATATCATTGCATTGTTTGTTTTTCATAAGTAGTTTTTTTTAATCTTTGTTTTGCTTGTACATCACAGTTACAGCTACAGACCAGGTAGAGAATATAACATTTTCTAAGTGACTGCCACCAACCCTGAAAGACAACTAACAGACTATTGCCTCTTCTGATTTTGTATCAAGGAGCATGAACAGTAGCTCTAAATACTGCAGAATTAGCCGAAACCGGTTTGGTTCAATGGATAGAGCATCGGCTTGGGGACTGAAAGGTCCCGGGTTCGATTCCGGTCAAGGGCATGTACTTTGGTTGCGGGCATATCCCCAGTTGGGGGTATGCAAGAGGCATCCGATCGATGTCTCTCTCTCATTGATGTTTCTAACTCTCTATCTCTCTCCCTTCCTCTCTGTACAAAATCAATAAAATATATTAAAAATAAATAAACAAACAAACAAATAAATAAATACTGCGGAATTAAATTTTGCCGACGTCCAATCAAACCTATGATGATGATAAAGGCTTTTCACCTGCAAAATGAACCCTATTCAATAGTCATTCAGCAATATGACTTGATTCACACCTGCCCAAGGACTAAGACTGTCTTCAAAGGTTTACTCAAACAACATAGAAGTTCATCACAGTCTGGGCAAAATTTAAAGATTAGACTAGGAGGGATTACACAGCTTAAAAAGCTTCATTTTTGTAAAAAGGTCTCTGTACATAATGTCTGTTGTTCCCTCGTATTGAAGAAATGACTTACGGGGGAAATGCAGGTACACGAAGGCTTGCTCAGTGGCACACCACAGCTGTCTGAACCAGAGAGAACTGCTCTTTGCTGGAACAGCTTCCTCCCCAGACCAGTTCTCCACAGGCCGCCTGCTCACAGCCCTGCCAGCAGCCCGTGCCCCCCAGAGACTCTGGCAGTGACTCCTGCCCTGGTTAAAGCACTTGCCCGGAGGCTGCCCAAGAGGCCACGGCCACACCCACTTGAGTCACCGTCCGTCCAGGTTAGGTTTGGATGTGGAAAGAAAGAATATGGAAAAGCATGTATGGCAACAGCTCCAAGAACAATACCGTCTCCAAACGCTCCTGGCGACTGCATCCTCAGTCTATGGACTGGCCAGGGAGGGGGATTTGAGATTCAGAGGAGGGCAGGAGACCTAATTCTGGGCAATTCAGCCACAGTCTTTGGCGGAGTGATGTGCCACTGAGCATGGTACCTAGAAAAATTCTCATGCATGTTTCCCTTCAGAATCAAGGGGCCCCAAACTAAAGTTGAGAAAATAAAGTATAAAACCAAATGTAGATGGTCTGGACATGAAGACCACTACCACAGAGATGGCACTGCAGAACTTCCCTTCTCTCTGCAGAATGTAAAATTCAGATGTGCAGCTTTGTGTCCACACGATTGGAGGCAGAGGATTCTACACTTGATTCTGTGGCAGCCCAGTCCCCAAAACACCTGGTCAGAATCAGTTGTGTGACCAAAGTTCAAGTCCAGTCCATGAGCAATGAGCCTGAGAACACGCAATGGCTGTTCCTGTGGCTGCCATAGTGTGAGGTCTGTCCTGGGAGCTGCCGTATAGTCTGCTAGGAGGGAGCCCACCACCATGAGCTCCCAGTCTTAGGACGTTTGGGGCTCTTGAAGTATATTATACCCCAGTGGTTCTCAACTGGGGCAATTCTGCCTCCCCACTACCTCATGGACCCTTGCCAACAACATCTGGAGAAATTTTGGGTTGCCATCCCAAGGAAGGGAGAATCTGTGTTACTAGCATCTAGTACATAGGGGCAGGGATGCTGTAATACTCCACTGTGACAGTTTGAAAGGTCCTGAATGAACTTGTAGACTCCACCTCTCTCCCCCAGGAAGAACCCCTTCAAGTGTATGGTGACCGACCTCAAAACACTCGATATTGCCGAAACCGGTTTGGTTCAGTGGATAGAGCATCTGCCTGTGAACTGAAGGGTCCCAGGTTCGATTCCGGTCAAGGACATGTCTCTTGGTTGCGGGCACATCCCCAGTGGGAAATGTGCGGGAGGCAGCTGATCGATGTTTCTCTCTCATCAATGTTTCTAGCTCTCTATCCCTCTCCCTTCCTCTCTGTAAAAAATCAATAAAATATTTAAAAACAAAAACAAAACACTCAGTATTAGGGCAGCCCTGTGTTGAGCCCTGAGCTGGAGGGAGAAAGAAGCCCAAGCACAGGGATCTGCAGAGGTAGCAGTATCCAGGTTGAAAAGCCCATGTTACAAAGTGTTAATGCTGCCCTCGCTGATTTGGCTCAGTAGATAGAGGGTCGGCCTGGGGACTGAAGGGTTCCAGGTTTGATTCCGACCAAGGGCACATCCCTGAGATTGCGGGCTCGATCCCCAGTAGGGGACATGCAGAAGGCAGTCAATCAATGATACTCTTTCATCATTGATGTTTCTATCTCTCTCTCCCTCACCCTCCTTCTCTAAAATCAATAAAATATATTTATAACAATTTTAAAAAGTTAATGCTGTTCTGGGTGACGCATAAAATATGGCGGAAGCAATGCTGTATGAAATCTGAGATTAGGTGATAAACATCACTGCGGTCGAAACCGGTTTGGCTCAGTGGATAGAGCGTCGGTCTGAGGTCCCTGGTTCGATTCCGGTCAAGGGCATGTACATTGGTTGTGGACACATCCCTGGTGTGGGGTGTGCAGGAAGCAGCTGATTGATGTCTCTCTCTCATCAATGTTTCTAGCTCTCTATCTCTCTCCTCTCCCTTCCTCTCTGTAAAAAAATCAATAAAATATATTGTTTTAAAAAAGCACATCAGCAGAAACCAGTTTGGCTCAATGGATAGAGCGTCGGCTTGGGGACTGAAGGGTCCTGGGTTCGATTCCGGTCAAGGGCATGTACCTTGGTTGTGGCCATATCCCCAGTAGGGGGTGTGCAAGAGGCGGCTGACCGATGACTCTCTCTCATCGATGTTTCTAACTATCTCTCTCCCTTCCTTTCTGTACAAAATCAATAAAAAATATATTTTAAAAAGCACATCACTGTGGCTTCTTCCATTTCTCTTGAAGCATTCACTCTGGGGAAAGCCAGCTGCTGCCACGGGGTGCAGACGCCCAGACAGCTCTGTGGAGAGGCTTGCCCCCCGGGTGAGGGAGTGAGGCATCTACCAACATCCGGGTGAATCGACAACCTTGGAAGCGGATCCTCCAGCCCCAGTTGAGCTTTTAGATGACTCAGCACCGCCAACATCTTGATGGCAACCTCATTAGAGACTCTGAACTAGAATAACCCAAGATGCCCCCAGATTCCTGCTCCTCAGAAACCACGAGATAATAGATGTTTGTTGTTCTATGCCTGTGAATTCTGGGGTAAGTCATTACACAGTGCTGCATAATTAACACACTGGCTGTGCTAAATTAGGCAAGTTCCGTTACCACAGAACCCCATTTCCTCCCTTGTGCCGAGAGGAATGAATGAGAAATACCCGAGTTAGCACAGGTCAAGTGCAAGTACAGAGCTGGGTTTGCAATGAGTACTCCACACAAATGGCCCATGTACATAAGGCAGCCTTTTAGCTCTTCCCCCACCCCCACCCCCCAGGATGGTTAAGGTCATCCTCCTGGCCCTTCCTAGGTGGGACTTGACCTCACAATGTTAGACCAAGTCATTGCATTCTGTCCAGAGGTCACCTTTCTACCAGGAGCAGAGGCTCTGGGCACAGGAGGGACAGAGAAAAGCTGGGGGCTGTCCTTCCCATTCCTCCAGCCAGGATGCCCGTGAACTCCGCTAGGACAGGTGAGTACACCTCCCCTCCTGCTCACTGTCCTGGGAAGGGCAGCCAGAGCTAACACACGGAGGGTGCGGTGGGTATTTTCTCTGTTTCCCGTGTCCATCACGGAAAACGACAGGTTCCTGAGTAGAGGAGCTTGGGATTAAGAAATTAGAGAAAGCCGAAACCGGTTTGGCTCAATGGATAGAGCGTCGGCTTGGGGACTGAAGGACCCCCGGTCAAGGGCATGTACCTTGGATGCAGGCATATCCCCAGGAGGGGGTGTGCAAGAGGCAGCTGATTGATGACTCTCATCAATGTTCCTAACTATCTCTCTCCTCTCTGTACAAAATCAATAAAATAAAATAAAATAAAATAAAATAAAATAAAATAAAATAAAATAAAATAAAATAAAATAAAATAAATTAGAGAAAGAAAGAGACAAGAGGCAGACATAGATTCATCAAGCTGGGTGCTAGGTGGGCTCCACCTCTCTGATGGAGAGGCAGTCACACCCATCACAGACAACACAGCACATTTATTGATTTCCAAAGGGGAAGTTTAAGGTCAAAAGGAGTTTCGGGTGTGCCCAGGTCCTATTCATCGAGACCTGGGTAAGTTCCTCATTTTTTTGGTATCATAATCAAGACCTGGGTAAGTCAAGGTCCTATTTGTTCCTCATTCCAAGCACATGGATAAAGATAAGAAATCAGTACTGATAACTGGACTCTGCCAGTGCCCTCGGGCTCAACTGGTAAGAATTAAAAGAATGTCCATGTGCCTTCTCAGGCGCCTCTACCGGAGGGGTACGCTGCCTCTCCCAGGAGTGAGGAGCAGCCTGGCCTGGCCTGGGCTTTACACACTGGCTGCCACTGAGGCCCCACAAGAGCTGAGAACTGTCCTACCCTCCTCTTTCAGCTGCCACTCCCTGCCGTTCTGCTGCTGCTGCCTGCTCAGCTGCCTCCTTCAGGGCTACCACCACCCCCCTCTCCACACTCCCCTTCTCTCCTCACCCCTTCCCTGAGGCTGGCTGAAACGTGGTTGGCTCCACCTGCTGCTCCACTGGCTCTACCTGCTCTTTCTCCCTGTTCTGAGTTACTCAGGAACTGCATGGCCATGCTTTGGTGTAAGAGGTTCTAAGTTTTCCAAAAAGTTAAAGACCCCAGTTCATAGTCTGCAATTTGCTGCTTTGCCTTCACTCCCTTTCTCTGCAGAGCTTTGCCTTTTTTTTCTTTGGTCAGTAGCTGCATAGAATTCTCCAGCAGTAAGTTACCATTCTCTTGTTGCTAAGTATATTTTTGTTGTTTTTCTCTCTGTGTGTGTGTGTGTGTGTGTGTGTGTGTGTGTGTGTGTCACATTAAAGCCATGCTGTCACAAAGATCCTAGCACAGCTTTACATTCCCATGGGAAAGCTTCTTAGAATTTCCACAAATTTCATTAATTTTTATTTGCATCAATGTTGAAGGAACAAATAGGACCTTGACTTACCCAGGTCTTGATATGATAAATCTCATTCTTGCCGAAACCGGTTTGGCTCAGTGGATAGAGTGTCGGCCTGCGGACTGAAAGGTCCCGGGTTTGATTCCAGTCAAGGGCATGTACCTTGGTTGCGGGTGCATCCCCAGTAGGTGGTGTGCAAGAGGCAGCTGGTTGATGATTCTTTCTCATTGATGTTTTTAACTCTCTATCCCTCTCTCTTCCTCTCTGTAAAAAATCAATAAAATATATATTTTTAAAAATCTCATTCTTATACCAATGTCAAGAGAAACAGTAGCCCCTGCCTCATGTCTCCCTACTTGTGTTCCACTTACTACTAGTTTCAATATTCTTCCTGTGATTTATGTCCATCTTTCCAAACGCTATCTCTGTGCTTTGTCTTCATTCATTTTCCACTGCCTTTCTGTTAAAAGGGGTGAGGAGTCAGCTCCCTCATACCTTCTCCGACTTCTGTTTCTACCAAGGCGGAGTTTGATAATTACCAGCTGAATCAGTGCACCTGTATTATGACTGCAAACATCACCCACAGCTGAGATGAGTGAGGTGCCTTGGAAACTGTGTTTGGTCTTCTATTCCTTTTCCCCTCTTCTTTTCTGGTATACTGTTTTTCTGGGGTTTTCCTCACCTCTGCCAGCTTAATCCAATTTTAATCTATTATTTTCTTTTTAAAATTTAATTTATTGATTAAGGTGTTACATATGTGTTCTTATTCCCCCATTACTCCCCTCTATTCCCCTCACTCATGCCCTCACCCCCTGGTGTCTGTGTCCATTGGTTAGGCTTATATGCATGCATACAAGTCCTTTGGTTGATTTCTACCCCTGACCCCCCAATCTCCCCTACCTTCCCTCTAGAATCTAGTCTAATGGGGTATTTTTGTTTTTGTTTTTAATATATTTTATTGATTTTTTTTGCCCCCCCTCCCTCCCTCCCTAGTCTAAGGTTTGATGGACT